GTGCCCCTGATGCGCGAGCACCTGGCACTGGCTTCTTCAGCTTTGCTACATGGACACCCAAAGAATGCTTTCAATGTCCGGGTTGAGGCTTTCATGAATGCCATATATATATATAAATAAATAACCGAATAAATAAAGTAAGAACCTCAAGAAGATCCACAAGCCTGGATATGAACTGCCGAGAATACCACGCATAAAGAACTCTCGACTGAGGGATTCTTTGAGGACTCGGAGGACAACTCGGACTGACCACACAGAGATCTCCTTGTAACCGCCTTGATTAAAAAGGTACATGCCAAACATTGAAAACCTATGTCCGAAACCCAAAGCCTAAATTTCAAAGCATGAATGGACCCAAAGTCATACATCCTAAACAGCGCGTGCAGCGTGTCCGACTCCCAAACCGTGATTCTCGAATCCTACATGCTTAGCCAGAACCCGAAATCCTGTACCCTATACCCATAGGCTGCATAGTAGTTCCCTTTGGGGATTACCTTATAGGATTCTAAATAGGAGCCCCAAACAGGAACTACTATGGGGCCTATGGGTATGATACATATACACCTTAAAATCCTCGAGTCTTTCCCGGACATAGATCCTAAATCAGCATCGGGATCTCGGATATGGGAGTTACCGAATATCAGGGGAACCTTCCTTCGGGGTCCTTATAATAAGGATCCTCCTATTTTGGGGTACTATATTAGGGTCGCCTAATTTCGGAAACTCCCATATCATGAAACTATCCCCACACCCTTCTCTTTCTATTAAGGCCCCTGTGCTAAAACCGTATATAATGTAGAGTAACCCTATTCGACCCCTTAGCGAAATCCTTACTCCGGCTTCCAGCACTGGCCTGGCTGCAATCACACGAAGTAAACGTTTTCATAGAGTTTAGAGGCTTAGGGGTCTAGGGTTTAGGGGTTTAGGAGTTCGGTTTAGGGTTTAGGGGTTTAGGATTTAGGGCTTGGGGGTTTAGGGTTTAGGAATTACGGATGGCCGAACATACTAATACCGCCAACCTTTCCGACGACGGAGTGCCATGTACACTCACCAAAGCCGCATTCTACAAAAACCAGATAGGGGCCACGAGCCCGAATGCAGACAAGCGTAATGCCTATAGCGCATCCCCTATAGAGCCGTTCTGTGACTGTTTAAAAGAAACCTAGCCAGTGCGAGCTGCCATTTTTTTGTTTTTCCGCAGAGGTGTTTCCCAGGCCTACCTGCTTGCGATGAAAATGATAAAACTATCGCTTCGCGAACGCTTCGCCAACGTTTGCGAACGCTTGCGAACGCTTCGCAGACGCTTTAACAACGATCGCCGGTCACCTGCCGGAAAAGGAATCAGGGCAGCACGAGAGTCGTATCACCACGTGTGCACGGTGATCACTGTTCACGTAACCTGGGGCCCACAGTGATCATGCAACAGCGAACTGCTCGAGTTGCTTCCGCAGTTCGTCTTCGTTGTGGAACAGGTTGGGATCCACGAAGGCGTGGTTTTGACTCTGCAGAGCGTTCAAGTGGCTGCGGTAAAGTGACTGGCTTGTGCAGCCCGGTGATTCGCTAATCGCCAGTCTCTGCTCATCTCCTGACCTTAGCTATAACAGCTACGGCCAAGCATGGAGTCGGGACGCGAGTTTCCCCTTAGCTTGGACGCGCGTTCTTTGGAGTTTCCCCTTAGCTTGGCGGATTCAGAGCGCATTCGGGACGCGCGTTCTGTGGAGTTTCCCCTTAACAGCGCTGCGCGACACCCCTCGCGTCACACGCGGGCGCTTGCGAACGCTTCGCGAACGCTTCGCGGACGCTTCGCGAACGCTTCGCGAACGCTTTAACCACGGTCGCTGGTCACCTGCTGGACCCCTGGACCCCAACCTTTAAAACGGGAACCCTTCTGCAGAGCATTCGGGAAAAAAACAGCTAGTTCACCTATCCCTGACTCTAATGCCTATATGCTCCATGCAGCCCCAAACCCTGAAAATAAAACCCTGTAATTCTGTAAACCCTCTGCGGCAAGCCCTAAACCCTAAAGCCCTAAACCCTAAACCCCTAAACCCTAAACCGAACCCCTAAACCCTAAACCCCTAAACCACCGACCCCTAAGCCCCTAAAACTAAGTGCTGAGGCCAGCGCGGTAAGTCCGTGCCATCGCGAAGCTGCTGTGGGAAGCCCCAGAAACCCCAACTGCGCAGCTCCGTCCCGAGACTGGGCATTTAGGGTTTTGGGTCTAGGGGTTTAGGGGTTTAGGGTTTAGGGTCCAGGGCTTAGGGGTTTAGGGGTTTAGGGTTTAGGGGTTTAGGGGTTTAGGGCTCTGGGTTTAGGGGTTTAGGGTTTTGGGTTTACGGGAGTGCATCGCCTCTCTTGGAAGGCTGTCTTAAGGTTCTATCGCTCATTGTCATCCTTTGACCAATCATTTTAAGAGAAGCTGCTGCTTCGGCACTCCGAGTCCCGAGTTCATAGGAATAGGGAGATCTCTTGTGCCGGGGCGCTTACAATCAGGACCAAACCTATGCACTGGTTGTCGAGAATCTAGAGCGTGCCTGGAAAATGACCTATTGCCGATTGCTGCGAAGTTGGCGTCCCTGAAGAGCTTGCTTTGCTGAAGTTGTGCACCATAAAGACCACAATGCTGGGAGATTCGTCTTAGTCTTCGAACGCGCAACATTTGCTTTCAATCCCTGCATTACTTATAAAGAGTCGTAAACGTATATACACATGCAAGCTTGAGTCTTCTAGGAAAAGGATCGGTTGATCAGGTCTTGGTGCACACATCGTATTATGGAAATCGCAATCACTGCGAGCGCAAAATCCGTTGGGATGGAAGGGCAGAGCAACTTACGCTGCGTGCTGTTCTCTTGTGGAAAACAAGCCTCGCACCAGTGCTTCCGACCCGCAGCATTAGGCTCACGTCCAATGGTTTGGAAGACTTGTTTACCGTAGTTGCTGAGTTCAGAAGCCCCAAAAAGTGTACACGTTTAGTTTTATATTGGGTAATATTATCCCAAAAAGTGTAAAGTGTATCCACTGAGCTACTAAGTTATTGTGGGGATTCGGAATTTCAGGTTTTCGGGCTTGGAGTGTAGAGGGCTGAGGCCTCAATCCTGACAAATCAACAGGAAGAGGTGCATCTTGAGGGTATGGCGTGAAAGAGCATCGGATCAGAGTAGATACATGCATTTGGCGTACTGCGGTTCAGTTTTGATGAGGCTTTAGTTGACTGAGCTTCAAGCACCTGGCAAACTGCCGGTCCGGGTGAGCGTAATGCCAACACCTACATGGCTTCTGCCAACCTAAGCCCGCGCCTTCCCACATCAAATTTGCTATGACTGCATGAAGCTTCAACTTACACTCTTTGAGCAACCCTAAACCCTATACCGTGTAATCGTGCTACATGTGGGAAGGTCCACGGGCACTTTGAGAGTCCACGTCTGTGCCTCTGCGAGGGTGTGTGGACAACAACCGACCACTCTCTGGGAGAGGTCTGAGTCATAGGTTTGGGAGGGTGCGTAAGGTACAAATTTCCCGAAACCCTACGCGGGTTCGTGAATCAACCGAGCTTACGTCCTTGCCAAGGACTGTGGACTACCGAATGGCCGAAGCTGCCATTTAAAGGTCATAAGTTAGTCCAGCGGGTTTAGGCATCTAGGGGTGTGAAATCTTAAAAACTTTGAACACACTTGATTTTCACGGCCGCAAGCTCTGAAACCGTCCCAAGGCCCATAGAAACCCTAGGGCTCCTTCTAAGAACCCATTTATAACCCTTACTTACTAGAAGTATACCATATCCCTGATTTTTAAATAGGCCCCTTATAGACAAAGTGTATACTATATGACTAAACCCTAAACCCTAAACCCTAAACTAATGACTATATGGTTGATTTTCATTGTCCCCTTATAGACCCCCCCCCCCGCCCCAGTCTCCCTCTCTCTCCCGAGGTGGACCCAAGGAGGTGAAACCACAGCCTCGAGCAGAAGACGTACAAACACTCTGCCGTTTAGGGGTTTAGGGTTTTGAGTTTTGAAGGTTTAGGATTTTTAGGATTTTTAGGGCTTTAGGGATTTTAGGGGTTCTAGCGGTTTTACAATAGATAAGGGTTTGGGGAAGTTTGACGGGCTCTTGCATAGGCTCACGAGTAGCTTCACGAGGCCTAACTAACAATAAACAGCAACAAGTTGCGGTTTGGGTTTTCGGTTTAGGTATACAGGGGCACTAGAGTAGCAAGTATCTGTGTCACTCTTCAGGTTCCTGGCCTGTATGATACAGCATGCTGTGGCCCAACATCCACCGCCGCCACGCCATGCGTCTCAGCCGCAAGCCCTGTACGGCTAAAGATTATTAAGCCATAGACTATACCTATACTATACAGTACTGCAGGATCCTTACGAACGCATCCTTGGGCTCTGATTGCATTCAGCTAAATTACCCTCGCATTCGGGAGAGCACGTCCGTCAATTCTAATCCCTGAAGTACTTGTACCGCCAGTGCCGTCAGCCCTGATTTCTGGGGGGATGTATAAACCGCGAAGGCCCGAATTCCCACCCATGGTTTCGATACAGTGCCTGGTTGACCAACGCCCGCAGAATGCTGCAGCTTACGCACGAGGTTGTGTTTATTCCCAGGATGGTGTGGCTTCGCCACGCCAGCCGACAGTTGTTTCTTCTTTGGGCCACTCCCCCCAGCATCAGGGTGTAGTTTCGGAGTTGTAGGGAAACTCAATAAAAGCAGGTTCATCACCAGGCAGGGGATTGTGGCCAGCTTGCAACCAATCTATGCGAGCAGCTTCCTCATGTTGCGACACAGCTCTAAGTCTCCCCGGATGCAGTATAGAAGTCTGTATTTCTACTTCCAGATGTTTGGGCATTTCCGGCCACGACCACCAGGACATCAGAAAGCTGCTCGTCCTTGAAAGCACCTCGTGTGCGAATGCTTCAAGAAGCATGAATTTTGTTTATTCCCCTCCTTGCTTGGGGAATGCAGGAGGGGTCCTGTGGTTCGTCTCAGAGCCTCAGCATCGAATGCTGTAGTCCAGGTTGTCCGCGTGCTGGACCTGGGTCTGTGATGCTCAAGAGGCTACCATTACGTGATGTTCATCGTCATCTTCGTCATACCATGACCATCGTCATCACTCTCACCGTCATCAGCAGCCTAATATTCGGCTTCATCGCAGTCAGCATCACTGTCTTCATCGCCACGACAGCCATATCACTCTCATCGTCACCGTCCAGGTCTGCTTCGTCGTTGTCAATCCTGCTTACCTCTCTATCCGGAAAGCCCTAAACCTTAAGCCCGAAAAGCTAGTCAGCTTGCTAACCTAACCCCAAAGCATAAACCACGCTTAGCAGATTCGTAGCTCGAAACGACAGCCTAAAGCCACCAACAACCGCAGCAGAGAAGCGAGTCTCTCGAAGTGGTTGCAGACCAGGGCATGCTGATGGCAGATCTTGCTGATGTCCTCTAGGGTTCTAGGGTTTAGGGTTTTTGCAGGGCTTTGGGTTTATCCTCCACTTTTTTGAGGGGATGTTGGGGCCAGGTCTGATCACCTAATGTCTCTGATTTGAAAGGTTTGAGGGGGATGTCCTCCATTGGGGGGTTTAGGAACTAGATCACAACAAAGATCCCGCTGCATTCGTGAGTTGAGGTCAAGCTTACAGGGGTCTGGGTTTTGGTTGTCTCTGGCAACCCTGAAAGCGCGAAGCCCTAACCCCTAAAACCCCCAAAGCCCTACCCCTGAAACTCTAGAGACCTATCCCTCAGGGAACCCTAAATCCCTGGCGACCTAACCATGAGTGCAAGGTCAGTCAATACAACATGTCTGAAGCCTTCCTGGTACACCTAGCACCCTTAACCCTAAGCCCTAAACTCTGAACCCTAAACCTAAAGCCCTAAGTCGTAAAACCCCAGCACATCAAAAATGTCGGAAGCCGTACAGGTACGAACCCTTGGCCCTTGTCCAACCTCGGGGGGAACTGGGGAGCTACTGGAGGCATAACGACAGGTTAGGGCTTTTTACTGTTTCCTTCAAAGGGCTCCATAAGGGTACTATGATTCATAAGGGTTGCTAATTCTGCTAGTCTGGGGTTTAGGGGCTTTTAGGGTTTCGGGGTTTAGGACTTGGGGGTTTAGGGGTGTCGAGGAGGGCACAGGGTGTAGGGCTTTAGGCCTTTAGGGGTGTAGGGCTTGGGGTTCTCGGGTTGAGGTGATCTTTCACGGTATCTAGGATCTAAAAGAGGGTGCTTGCTGGGGTTGTAGGGTACACCAGGTGCACCCTGAACAGCGGATCAGCCGCACCCTGAATCAGAATAGGGTTGCTCTGCAAAATACAGTATTGTGACGTAGGGGCTACAAGAGGATACTATGCTTTCCTCAACCTTGAACCCTAAATCCATACTAGTTCCCTAGCCTCTACACCACAAGTGCTAAATCTTTGCTATGTCCTTAAACCCTCGTAAACCCTGAATTTCTTTTAGTTCCTTCGACTCGGACCCCTAGACCCTACATCCTACATTCCTGTTAGTTCCTTCGACTCTACCCTAAGCCCTAAATTCCTGTTAGTTCCTTCGACTCTACCCTAAACCCTAAATTCCTGTTAGTTCCTTCGACTCTACCCTAAACCCTAAATTCCTGTTAGTTCCTTCGACTCTACCCTAAACCCTAAATTCCTGTTAGTTCCTTCGACTCTACCCTAAACCCTAAATTCCTGTTAGTTCCTTCGACTCTACCCTAAACCCTAAATTCCTGTTAGTTCCTTCGACTCTACCCTAAGCACTAAATTCCTGTTGGTTTCTTCGACTCTACGACCTGTTAGTTCCTTCGACTCTACCCTAAACCCTAAATTCCTGTTAGTTCCTTCGACTCTACCCTAAACCCTAAATTCCTGTTAGTTCCTTCGACTCTACCCTAAACCCTAAATTCCTGTTAGTTCCTTCGACTCTACCCTAAACCCTAAATTCCTGTTAGTTCCTTCGACTCTACCCTAAACCCTAAATTCCTGTTAGTTCCTTCGACTCTACCCTAAACCCTAAATTCCTGTTAGTTCCTTCGACTCTACCCTAAGCGCTAAATTCCTGTTAGTTCCTTCGACTCTACCCTAAACCCTAAATTCCTGTTAGTTCCTTCGACTCTACCCTAAACCCTAAATTCCTGTTAGTTCCTTCGACTCCAAACGAATTTGTTTGAACCCCCTCGGCACGGCTTTCGAGCGGTCCGGTCGCTCGACGAACTTCAGGCACTTGGACCTTTCAGGTTCTGGGCTTTAAAGCTTCAGCTATAAGTTATACGGGTACCATTAAGGGTACTATAAAGGTACTATAAGGGTTTAGGGGTGTAGGCTTTAAAGCTTCAGTTCTAAGGGTACCAGAACGGGTGCTATGAGGGTTTAGGGGTGTAAGGTTTAAGGCTTCAGCTTGGGGGAGGGTCCTATTGGGGGAGGGTCCTATTGGGGGGGGGGTTACCATAAAGGGTACTATAAAGGTACTATAAGGGTATAGGGGTGTAAGGTTTAAGGCTTCAGTTTAGGGGAGACCCCTATTGGGGTACCATAAAGGGTACTATAACGGTACTATAAGGGTTTAGCGGTGTAAGGTTTAAGGCTTCAGTTTAGCGGAGGGTCCTATTGGGGTACCATAAAGGGTACTATAAAGGTACTGTAAGGGTCTAGAGGTGTAAGGTTTAAGGCTTAGTTTAGGGAAAGGTTCTATCGGGGGTTCTACAAGGGTACTTTGAGGGTACTATAAAGGTACTATAAGGATTTTAAGGCTTCTTTTCCGGAAGGGAACTGATAATGAAGTGTGTCACTCACGTGTAGAGTTTTTAAGGCTTCAGTTTAGGGGAGGCTCTATTGGGGTTCTATAAGGTGCCATAAGGGTACTATGAGGGTTTTGGGGTGTAGGGTTTGGGGCTTCAGGGGTCGAGAGCTTCGGGTTTTCAGGGTGTAGCATAGGCTCAAGGTTTTATGGGGGGGTTCGGATTAGGGTTTTAGGTTTTGCGATTCAGGGCTTGGAGCTTACACCGGTGCTTGCAAAGTAAAAGGTTTTGCGCTACTTTACATGCTTTCCGTTGACTCAATAGGGTTCCGGACCCTAAACCCATAAACCCCAAACCCACAAACCCTAAACACTAAACCCTAAGCCCATAAACCCTAAACCCAAAACACTAAACCCAACAAAAACCAAACCCTAGACCCTAAACCCATAAGGGCCTGATGCGGCTTTCGGGTTGTCGGTTCAGGGCTCGAGGCTTCAGAGTGGTGCTTGGGGCTTCTGAGGCATTCAAAGGTGTCGTGGGTTTGGGCTTGGGGTTTAGGGGTTTAGGGTTTATGGGTTTAGAGGTTTAGGGACGTTTAGGGTTTAGGGGTTTAGGGTCGTTTAGGGTTTAGGGCCGTTTAGGGTTTAGGGGACCAGGGGAAGGGACAGTGGCAAGGATGTAAGCTCTTTGGGGTCAGGGGTGGTAGATGTTTCTGCTATTTCGTGTCGCGTTCCGACCCGGCTACCGTAGCACTGTACCCTTGCAATTCCATCTTTGCAGCGTGCTTTGCCAAGCAGGCTTCCCTTCAAGGTATCTTCTGATTGAACCGTAAACCCTAAACCTCCAAGCCCCTCAAAGACGCCACAAGGAACCCGAAGAGTGGATACCATCACGACCCGAAGTGCTCAGGCCCTTCTGTTCTGCTTTTTTCCGCACCATGGAAAGGCAAGCCTTCACACTCGAAGCCCGCAAGAACCAGTAATTGTAACCGTATAGTAGGAATATGTAGTATAATCGTCGTCGTAAGTAATAGCAACTACTAGCCCAAACAATGCGAATAGCAATATCACTAGCAACAGAAAACCCATGGAAGTAGTAGCAGTTGTAGTAGTAGTCGTCGTAGTAGCAGTGGTAGTGGTAGTGGTAGTGGTAGTGGTAGTGGTAGTGGTAGTGGTAGTGGTAGTGGTAGTGGTAGTGGTAGTGGTAGTGGTAGTGGTAGTAGTAGTCGTCGTCGTAGTTATAGGAGTCGTACTACCCATCAGAAGTCTCTTCCTGAGCCCAGCACCAGCAGCCAGGAAGATGCAAAGTCGCGCGGCGCAGGGCCTCACGTTCGTGGACACCTGAGCAGCCGCTAGAGGCTCCTCTCCTCAGGAAGGGTTTAGGGTCAAGGCTTTCCTGAACCGAATAACCTACCTTTTGAGGGTTCCTGATTTTGATTTCCTTCTATAAGTCCTTAAAATGGTAGGTCCTTCAAGGTTAAGGTTAGTTTAGCAAGCATACACCTTTATCTTCAAATTCGTTGGAGAGCAGCTGGCAAGTAAACGCTTCAGTGGCGTCAAGGCATTCAAAGCTGAGTCTGCAGCCCCTACCAAAGCAAATTCTTTTGCGCCCTTGCTATATTACACTGAACCAAACAGGATAATGTTACGTTGTATTGTAATATGGTATTTCATATGCAATGCATGTACAAGCGGGGAGAAAAGCCAGGCATCAAGGGTTGCCATCACTCGTGCCAAGCCACTGTCGCCAAGAGAGAGAACATTCTTGCGCCTGAATGCCCACGCATTTGCATGCTACAGAAGCAGGCAGTGCGGGTCTTGCGCCTTGGGTCTGATTGTAGTCAGGACTAACTTGGGGGTCCCTTTAGAAGAACCCGAGTGCTTCCCTCGCGCACAAAAAATTGCTTACAGCTGCGGGTGTAGGTTTTTCGAGGTTTTGTTAAGTGCAATTGGCCATCTTTCTTCACAGGCGACGGCTCAGCTCAAGGGGAGCTGATCAAGGAACGACAAAAGACAAACATGTGCCTCTAGGTAACATCGCAGACAGAGGCACAGGATAGAATCTTCCAACAGCGTAAGAACTCAGAGGTTCGAGGTCGGCTCAGGTGACGAAGACCGAGGGGAGGTGTCACGGCAAGATAACTAATAATGCAGTTTAGGGCTTGGGGTGCGTCTTCCCGAAATTCCAACTTGCGACTTGCGATGCTGGGAGCGCAGGGTGCCGGTGAAAGGAAAGGACTTGAGTTGGGAACAAGCTCCCGCTGCACAGAGTTGTTTGATTGCCGACGCGCATGTGAGGTGTTCTAGATTAGCATGTCTGTTCAAGTACGGAAACGGAACTCGAAAGAAGCGGCTTCGCAATTCCAGACAAACAGTGCCGAAAACACACAGCACCACACGACCACGCCAGCCCCGAAACCCTACCGCAAAATCCTGAAAGCCCGAAAACCTTGAACGCAAAACCAACAAATTCTTGATCCGAACTTCTCCAAAAACTTGAAGTACCCAGAACCAAGTCTTACCTCCTGAATCCCACATAAACCCCAAAATATTCCCAAAACCCTGCGACCTAAACCCTAAACCCCTAAACCACCAACCCCTAAACATTCTCAAAGCCCCCAGACCCTAAACCCTAAACCCCTAAACCACTAACCCCCAAACATTCCCAAAGCCCTACACCCTGAACCCAAAACCCCCAAAAGGCCGCTCCTGCTGGGCTGGGTAAGGCCCGCCCGGCCGTAGACGCGTTCGATCTCGGTTGCAAAGGCTCGCACCTTCCACTCTAAGGGCGACCTCGGTGGGTGTAGTTCAGGGCTTATGGGTTGAGGGGAATAGGGAATTACAGGGTGTAGCTCTTCGGGGATTGGGGTTTAGGGTTTAGGGGTTAAGGCTTTAGGAGTTTCGGGTTTAGGAGTGTAGGGTCGGTCTATGGGTTCAGGGGATTAGGGGATGAGGGTTTAGAGGTTTAGGGGTTTGGGGGTTTTTAAGGGATTGGGACTTTGGGTTTTAGGGTTCAGGGCTTATGGGTGTAGGGGATTAGGGGTTATGGCTTTAGGAGTTTTGGGCTTAGGGGTGTGGGGTCTATGGGTTTATGGAGGCTATATGGTATCGGCTATAGGCCCTCTAAGGCAACGAGACTACGAACGAGGACAAGCAAGTGTATTGGCCGCCAGAAAGAAGCACCAGTAAACCCAAAAGGGCTGGGCCGCACACGCCAAAGTGCTGCTCTCGTACGTGGTTCTCGCAGACAGCACCTGCAATCTTGGATCTTTCATGCTATTGGGAAGCTGGGAAGGAACAGCAGTATCCAAGCGCTTCGCGATTTTGTGCAGTTGCAGGAAATCAGGACCCAGATATACAAACCAAGAGCCCGGTGCAGTTTGTACACATACCCCTTCTAAGACCCTCTACAGCTTTTACAAAATCATGTCAACCCATTCTAAAACCTGGAAACCCCCATGACATCCCGCAAGCCGGTATGACGCCCTGCAAACCGCTTCTAAATCCGACTAAAACTCTTCTACCAGGGCTTCAGATGTTCCAAACGTCTTGCACCCAAGACCTTACAAAGCCTATGCCTGAAATCCCAAACTCCACTACAAGGGGTTGACAGGGTTTGGTATGGATTCAACGAGCGGTCTCTAGGGCTTAAACTAAATATGTGAGGGTTTTCCAGTAAAGCCTGCCCCTCGAAAGCCTTCTGTGACCGAACCCCCCTGGAAACCCTAAACCAAAGCCGTAAAACCCTAAACCCTAACCCTGAAACCCCTACCCATGAGCCCCTAAACCCTGAACCATCAAACCCTAAACCTGCCTTGACGCTCTCAAGGGCAGGGTAGAGCGTTGGGAGGAACTTCTGGCAACTGAGCTCAATCCATCCTGCAAGGTCAGGAAGGGTTTTTGCAGGTCTGGGCTTTAGGGTTTACGGTGTTTGCGGGTTTCTGAGGGTCTTTGGCTCAGGAGATAAGATTCAGGGCTTAAGGCTGAGGATGTAGGACGTAGGAGTTTAGAGATAATCAACAGGACCCTTTAACTTATTGGGTTTGGGATTCGGAACTATTTTCTGGGTTTGGAATGAGGAAGCGGTTGGGAAATTGGGCTGCGCGGCGGGCCTCTTTGGACCGAAGCACGGATACCGACAGCGATGGGTCTTTCTGCAACAAGGGACCTGAACACGCATGTACTACTGACGATTCCCATGCAACTTATACTGTACCCCCAAACCCTATTCCACATTGTCAGGCCCCGATATTTGCTCGCTGGCCTGCCATCCTTGGTCTGTAGGGTTTCATGAATGAGGTTATTTTCGGCGTCGTATAGTCTAGTCAAGTCTAGTCTACTCTAGTATCGTCTTGTATGTCGTGTAGTATACAGCACGATATAGTCTATCAGCACAGCACAGTATATAGCACAATACAGTTAACATTAGAGAAGACTACAGAATGTACTTCCCCCCGCGTAAGTCAAAGCTTACCCACGGCACACCCAGCAAGGGAGATCATCATGCTGGGAATCGATGCGAAATGCTGGAAAACCCCGCGGCAATCAAAGCTAGCCTTCGTGCCCTGAACTGACTTTCTGTCCCTTCCACTTCTCATCTCCTGGGCAACCCGAAACCCGTCTGGCTCCTCAAAGTGTCAAACGAAAGCTTCAGCTGCCCTAAACACTCAATCCAGAATCCGGAAACCTAGACTTAACATCCAAGACAGCAAGAACTCGATGTTGTAGCTATTATGATGATGAATATGGTTCCGCTTCTGGCGTCCCTTATCACCCGTCCTCGCTCAGCATTGGTGATGATTACGACCTGGCAGACTTCCATAGATGCTGCCAGCAACTACTACTCCCACCACGAAGACGATGACAACCACGCCGAGTAATTACCACTGCCACTGCCACAGTGGCAATTTGCCTACCACTGCTGTTGCCTCACTTCTGCAACCACAGCCACCACATCGAACACTGCCATGAGGAGGCGGGCGAGGACTCGACGAAACATGCCCGTTGGCTGAATACGTGGAGAGTGCTCTGTAGAAATCGTACCAGCCGGTATCAGAAATACTAACGGTCTCGGGATGGGAGATGGCACTCTTATCATTCTGCAAGGTGTGCTGCATTATGCGCATGAGCAGTCCAATAAACATGATCGTCCCAAGGCGCGCTCAGAGACCAAGTTGCCAATCAAAACCTTGTGAACCATGCCTGTTCGGTAATGTCCCGGATAAGCAGCAAAGGCAAACACCAACGAACACTGCAGAGCACCCAGCATGCAGCTGAAACAACTTCATATCCGCCTGCATCGAACAATTACCAACAAGAGCTAGGCCTCTGGGCCCTGCCTCCGGACGAGAGCAGAAGCCGAACCACATTAGGGTTTAGGGTTTTAGGGTTTTAGGGTTTAGGGTTTAGGGTTTTAGAGTCAGTCTTTGCATTTTCCATTGTGAACTCTTGCAGACATGAGGGAAACAAACATCTAGTGAATCTGAATCTAGTGCTTCAATCACGTTGCTTCCTCAGGCACGGCGATGCTGTGCAGTAGCAACTACCAGCAGCAACAAGAACGGCGTCATCATCCACAGCAAAAACAACTACAACACCTACTCAACTACAAATACCCCTACGACTACAACTATTACTGGTACTCAGCATAGCGTTAACCTTTATAGTACGCACAGCTATCGTGAGAAACACCACCACCTCCACCACGAATCTGATGTGTCCATCACCTGCGACCTCTTTAACGGATGTTACAGGGTAGCAGGTTTACTGGTCTTTATACCCTTGGCCGCTGAACTGTGCCGGCTAGACAGTTCCCAGCTGCTTTGCCAATCGCAGCGTCTCCGCTGCAGCTGTGGCTACCTCACCGACAGGCAATCTTATGTCATCGACAACTCAGTGTCAATGCATTGGGAAGCCCACCTAACTCTAGACCAAGTGCTCACATAATCTTCACCGGCAAGGGGCAGGATACATCCTCCTGGCACCACCATGCCGGGGCACTGAACCAGCTAGGCACGCCCGCACAATGGGTCTCCGTGGAATACGGTCTGGAGGGGTGCGGCGACGTCTGTGGCTGGAAAAATCTTGACTACTGCCCTGAACCGGTACACCTCTCGCACTTTCTGCCTTGGGCGAAACACTGGGGTACGACATCTGCATCTTCCTGCTAGTACTTCTCCTGAGCATCGCCATCATCATCATCACCATCATCACCTTTGTCCCTTCCATCAGCATGTTCATGCCAGTGATGAGGGCAACGATGCTGGCTCCTCGCATTCCAGCTGCTCTTCCTCATCAGTATCAGTCATCATCAACATCCTCCTGTGCATTGTGACCGTCACTATGTCCACCCTCTCCTTCGCCCAGCACCAACACCTCCTTCTCCCCTCTGTGTCCACCCTATTGCTGCTACTATCACTACCACTGCTAACCACCACGGCCACCATACGACTCAGAAGCCTACTACTCAGAATGTCCAGTGCGTATTACCTCGGACCAGTGGACCAGTACTAGCACTCCTACCACCGGCCAGTTGGATTGCATATTTGTCGGGAAGGGAATCAGCGCCCCCCAGGCCTGTCACCAACGATGATGACTACCACTGTCACTGGTATCAGCACCGTGCGCACTTGGAAGCAACCCAGAGCTCAAAGCCGTGAACTAACGACGACATTGGCAACTAGTCCAACATCATCAGCTTTATGTTCATCACCATCACAGCAAATTACTGCAATGACCATGATGACAGTCTCATCCTGATGTGGCTCTACTGGGGGAACAAGCGATGATGTTGTACTATGTGAACATACTGAATACTACTAAGATTCTTCTTGCGCTGCTGTCCTTACAGTTGTACTTTCTCTTGCAGCCAGCACGTGTATCGGCATCACTGTTTGCCCGCTTCTGACTGCAATACGATGTGCTAAAATCCAACCCTAAACCCACAATCCTAAATCCTAAACCATGGTCCTTATATCCTAAACTCATGAAGCCTAAATCCTAAACCCTGGGTCAACCCCCCTGATCCCTAAATTTCTTTGACCCTACACCATGAACCCCAAACCACAGCCCAAAGCAGTCAACCTCGAGACCTCATGCGCCAAACTTTAAGCCGAAGCCCACAAATCGGCCCAAACCAGGCAAAAACCGTCCAAAAGCAGACACCCCCAAACCCCAAGCTCATGCAGACCTGACTACTTCAAGGATCAAGGGACTTAATAACTGGGGTTATTAATAAGGTAGCCATACTTATCATAACTTATAACCTTAAGGTACTTATAACCTTACTTACTAAGTCTCCTGATCCTTCAAGTACCTACCTGGCTATGCACATACGCACACACAAGAAGAAACAGGATAGGAGTACACTGTGAAACAGAAGCTCTCTTAGCGGCCTCAAACAGCTGCCTTCTGTGGTGGGGTAAGACCTCTGAGCCTCAAGCAAGGCCAGGTTCTCTTGGGCTTTTGGATTTGAGAGTTTAGGGTTTAGGGTTTAGTTGGGCTTTGGGGATTTGAGGGTCAGGGCGAAGGCTATTATTTGGGTCGGGGTGTGGGGCTCTGATGGCGTTGAAGTAGTTTAGGGGCTCGTCCGGGGTGAAGGTGTAGGACTTTGCAGTTTGGGTTCTCTTATGGAACGGAAGTTTGGGACTTTGCAAGTCTAGGGTCCTTCGGGTTTGGGCTTCAGGCTGTTTGGTATGTTTTTGAAATGTCTGGCACTAGAGGGGTATCACGGAGTTTAGAAGCGTTTCACTCACGAGGTTCAGGCTTTTAAGCATCATGTTGAGCGCTTGTACTGAACCGAGGATATGCTGGGATGCCGTTCAACTCCCAGCCGCCCTGAAGCCGCAAAACCCAAACCCAAACAGCACTTTGCCCTCAACCCTCAAACTCTCGGAAACCCAGTAAAAAAAACAAAAAAAACGTCACATACTCTGAACACGAAACTCCACGTAACCAGGCGATCGGAGACGTCCGATCCTCCAAAGTCCAAAAGTTTCAAAAATCCTCAAAGTCTAATATCCCAAATGGCCTTTAAGGGTTTAGGAAGTCAAGGGTTAAGGGTTTAGGGTTGAGGGTTTAGCGGGTATCATACCGAAACCTCACAAAACCGCAACGCAAAACAATAGAACTCAACATCCCCAAAAACCGAAAGAAGCAACAGAAAGCCCTGGTATTTGGTGTAAGATTGTAACATTCCCGAAAACCCGAAAGCCGCAACTCTAAACCCTAAACCAAAAAAACCCAAAGCCGCAACCCTAAACCCTAAAACCCAAAAAGCAACAAAACACCCAAAAACCCAAAGAAACAACGGAAAAAACAGAGCTCCCTGGGCACCAGACTCTCGTCAAGGCGAAGGCCCTGGCTCTGCACCTCGGGGGGGGGGGGTACGTTCTCTTAGGTTAGAAGAGAATGGAGGGTTTAGGGTTTAGGGGGGTGCGTTCTCTTAGGTTAGAAGAGAATGGAGGGTTTAGGGTTTAGGGTTTAGGGTTTGTTAGGGTTTAGGGTTTAAGGTTTAGGGTTTAGGGTTTGGGGTTTAAGGTTTAGGGTTTAGGATTTAAGGTTTAGGGTTTACAGGGGGTTTCTTGCCTTTGGTTATGGTTAGAACTCAAGGGTAAAAGGAGGGACCCTTAATGGGGACCCCTACCCTATAGTGGGCTAGATAATAAGTATATAATAGCTATATTAAGGGTATATACCTAGGGGTCCTTATTAATTGGATAGAAGGGAATGGAGGACTGGGGTACAAGTATAGCTTCTGTTACTACCGTTCTTCCATTCCCTACTAACTAAAGGTAAGTTCTAAGGAACATGATGTAGAGCCATGTTGAAGAGAGCCGCTTTTTTTAGGACTTAGGTAGAGGAGGCATATATAACAAAGAGCTCTAGAAAGGGGGTTTAGGACTTATGTAGAGAAGCCACATAGAATAAAGAACTCCAGAAAGGGGGCTTCGGACACTACCCTTTGGAAGGCGGCACTTTGTAGAGAAGCCGTATTAAAGAAACCTAAAGAGCCCTAAAAAGAAAGTTCAAGGCCCTGCTACGGTTGATGATATAAATCCTGCATTACCCATTCTGATGATATGCCATATTTCCCATACTTTAGGGTCCTTAAGGTAATGCAGGATTTATATCATCCACCGTACTGGGGCAGTTCTCTAAACTAGGGGTTTTTGGAGGTCCTTATTGGAAATACCTGTTTCTGTCCAAAAGCCCTCCCGTGTTGAAGTAAGCTATGTAAAGATGCCACGAAGAAACCCCACTATTCCTGTAGTCCTCAACACCCTACCCTTTACAAGGAATTATGTCGAGAAGCCACAATCAAGAATCCCAGAAAGATAGGTTGACTGCGCTACAGGATGCTACAGGCAGGATTCGATAAACGCGAATATGGTTTTTGCACGGTTTCCTTTCAGTGTTCCGTTGAGGATATCTAGAAGAATGGTCTGGAGCAAAGGGTGGTGCCCGCCACCCTAAACCCTAAAGCCCGCAACCCCCTGTCCCAACTACTACAGGGAGCCTCAAAGGATACCATCCTTTTCGGGCTGTTCAGACCCCCCCCCCCCTCCTCCTAATACTTCCTAATGCTGATTTTTGGTTGGGGCTTGATTCGGGTTAGGGTGTATGTAATGTTTAGGATTTATGCTTAGTTCTGATGTGATCGCTTCGGTGCTCAAGGATTAGGGGGGAAGGCCATGCACGGTCTCCAATGGCTGAGCGCCCGTGGATGAATTTCAAGGGCTTCAGGGTCGTTTTCATTGGGGCATCTTCGTCTTCGATTGACATCGTCACCTTATCGTCGTCCCGCTCCTCATCATCGTCGGCAGCAGCATTAACAACAGCATCTTCGGGTTGTTGATAATGCTCTTCGTCCACCACCACCACCACCACCACCACCACCACCACCACCACCACCACCACCACCACCACCACCACCACCACCACCACCACCACCACCACCACCACCACCACCACCACCACCACCACCACCACCACCAGTATCGTCGTCATTTGCCGTACCAGTAGCTACTCCTGCGCTTCTGCATCCCGCGTCTTCACGCCCACGACCAGCAACAGCACCTTTCTTTGTCAACACGCAATCCTTCTCCTCCTCCTCTTCCTCCTCCTCCTCCTCCTCTTCCTGCTCCTCCTCCTGCTCCTCCTCCCCTTCCTCCTCCTCGGCCTCCTCCTGCTCACAGCATCTCATAGCCATCCCCGCCAGCATCGTCTCACCATCATCAGCAGCACAACTACGTCTGGGGTGTTGGTGTTGCTGACTCCGAAAGGGGAGCAGGAGTAGGGCGAGGGAGCTGACAGGACCTGTCGATACGAAACGTCTAAACATGATGAACAGAAAGAGCCTGACTGCAGTCTCTGGGAGGTTCATGGGGTGTGACACCAACAGAAGGAAAATAGAAACCTTCTAGGGGCTGCGATATGACGAAGATCGCATACGCCTAAGCCTGACACCCAGGAGGATGGCAGAACCGTGTCGTCCCAATCGAAGATCAGAAGGGTGTCCTTGGGCAAAGCTCCATGTACTTACATTGTGCTAGCTTTGGCTTGAAGATGTTCCACTTTACCAGGTACAGTAGGACTGTAAGGCCAAGGCAACATGGACGTTTTGGGTGCGTTTTGGCCCCTCTTTCCGGCTCCAATCTGTAGGTTGTGTCTCAGGAGTGTCAAACTCCCAATCTCCTGCGACTGTGAGGTCAACCCTGCCACCATCTGCACGAAGGTCGTTGAATAGATCCATAGATATAGATATAAATACTGTTCCAAAGTAGGCAAACAAAAACATCACATGTACAACTCTATTCAAAGATTCTGTTATCATCCTCCGGAAGCATGCGGCGTCAAAATACAACTGCCCGGCAAGGTCTTGAAGCAGTTACGCGAAGTCTCCCGAGACCCTCATGCTTGAATTCTGACTCCTAAGAATAGTCCGGCTGATTCGGTGCTTCTAGGCCTGTCCTCGAAAGACACAGTGGAGGAGTCGGCGTCCGCCTCCAAGGCTCTTGACTCTAGTGGCGAACGGACGTTTCGGGGATGTAAGGCTTAGGGTTCATGGTTTGAGGTGGAGGGTCCCAGAGTTTCGGGTTTTCATGGTTGCAGGGGTTCAATAGTCAAGGGTGTAAGGGCTTAACTGGGGTTTTGATTCAAGCTAGTGTAGGAGACTAACAGTTACTTGTCAGTATGTATGTACGAATGTATGTATGCATCAAAATGCAAAACTCCCCTTAAGGAACAGCAGAGAAGCAAAGTGTAAACGATGCCGCTTGCTTGTTGTCCTTGTCTAAACAACCTCCAGGACTCTGGGATCTACTTTGCCATGACATCAACAAAATCATGAAGCGTTAAGTGTCGGGGAGGTTAAGGGTTTAGACTCGAGATACCGTCGATGGTGCCAGCACCACAAATGCAGTATCGATGCAAACGAAGAACACATACTAGGAACTGGCAAACTGGTAGTCGGCACCATCAATAATGGTCAATTTTGCCCATACACATGAAATAACTTTGGTCGTGGTGAGAACATCACCAACCACTATCTCCGCCTCGAGGGTTCTCATCGTCATTCACACCCCCAAACTCAAACGAAAGCAGACGGTGGAGTTCGATTCTTCCGGAGGTTGACAGGTTTCTAACGGTGGCTAAAAAACATATTTACTTAAACATGTCGAATAGGCTGCTGAGGGTTATGCGGATCGAGCTATAGCCGTGGACAAAGCACGAACAACAATAACTTCTAAACGCTGAACCCCGAAACCCCAAAACCAAACCCCACACCGGAGTTGGAATCTGAAGCTCGGCTGGGCTCTCTTTCTCGGCCTCGCCAGCGACGACCTGACCTGGCAATGCTCATTGTCTGTAAATTGCTGGTCGGGTAACTCCGGGCTCTGTATTCAGGGTGTCTCTTTGAAGGGCTGTTTTCCGACTGCTTGCAGATCCGAGGGCTGGCAGACTACTCAGGGTTCGGGTTTTAAGTTTTTAGGGTGCTATGTAAAATCCAGCATTTCCGTTTTGAAATGCTGCGAACCGCTTCGGCTCTGCCTGGCGACTCCATGGCCATTGGCCGTAAGTCTTATTCTGCAGAGCCGCGAATGGCAACCTTCTAGGGGACAGGACCGGATGAGAATACTCAGGGACAGGCCCCCTCATCAACATTCGCCATCCTTTATCCAAGCCTCTTGTGATCTGCCTGCAAGCATGTCCGAACCCGAAGCACAATATGGAAACCGCACACTTTTGATTAAAGCTTCCAAAAGTCAGAGCACGAGGACATCAATGCAGGTGTGTACTGAATGTGCAAACCCTGCAAACTTAATACATGCGGATACAGTGGAGGCCAGTGACTTTGCAACTCCGCCCGAACTGCACAGAGGCACTCTTAACGGGCCGTCGCAAGGACGATTTTTACGGATAGGATCCGTGCCCCAGAAAACCCCGCCTTCCTCGGTGGAAGAATTGCCTTCTTCGGTGCTTGCTTCGTCGTCCGACACAAATGGCGGACCTTGGCTTGGGACTGTGGCTCCTGTTTCTACAGCCGCTCTCGACTACTGCGTTGCCAATTTTCACCGCCAAGAACTACCGGACACAGGATGGATCACAGACATTGGCTGATTTTCGCGCTGGCCTGCACAAGCGAAGTGGAATGAGGGCCGTGTGCTCGATGTTTCGATTCCAGCAGGCATAGCTCGAGTTGGTTCCAGTGCACTGTCACAAGCAAGTTAAAACCTTTCGCGCAGACAAGCTGTCGAATTGCTGTTGCATGTCTGCAACATATACAGTGTTGGGGTCATGGCTTCCGGAATACGATTGAATGTTGCTGTCCGGGCAATCTTGAACTGGATGCAAAGTGCAGTGGATTTTATTGTTCGCTGCTGAAACTTCATTGCTTGCCGGCAGGCATTTGTTTTGAGAACCCGAGTTCCAGATCCTTGGCATCCAAAGTTTCGGCGACCATGACTGAATGCTGGGTGGTGGCAGTTTCTAGGTCAAGAAATTCGGTTACGGGATGTGCACGGAGAGGCCAGGATTGTTGTTCGTGTTGATGCCCAGCAGACGGGCCACGGTATTGTAGTGCGCTTAAACTGCGGATTTCAGGCTGGGAACCGAAAGATCGGGGCCATCCTCCTTGTCTTGCTTGACCCTGAGAGATTGACCTGCTGCTACTGCACCCCAGAATAGGACAATTTCTCCGCCTGCTCGTACCTAGACCCGAGGCCCTAAACCGTTAACCTCTGAGTTTAGACTTTAGTTTCACTACACGGCGAGGATTCTTGCAAGGTCCTGAACATGATTCCTTACAAAGCGCGCAGTTTTGGAATACAAGCAACTTCGACATTTATGATGTGCCTCTGGCCTGCGCTCTGCATTCACATGTACTGTGTTTGTACAATCACGCGCTGCCATATCTGTATATACTATACATTCAATACCTCGTACATTAATAGACACGTACATGTACGAGTACATACACACATGTTCAGATAAGTTCACACATACAAACACGCACACACACATTGACATACATACATATATATATATACACACACATACACACATACTGTGACACGTTCATATACAAACACATGCACACAACACACACGTGTACACGCATGCATGCAGACATACATACGTAAATGACCAACATACATCCATAAATATGTGCCTACATACATACCTACTTACGTACACACATACTTACATACGTAAACTTACAACACATACCACGCTTGTCATGCCAACCCAAGAACAAGAAACCCAAATTTAAGCCCTTGGATTTGAAGCCAGTCTTAGCAGAAAGCCCTACACCCTAAACCGTCAACCTAAACTCTAAATGATTAAGTATCTGATTAAGTCATAAGCGCCTGAACCCTAAACTTCAAAAACCGAAGCCAGATAGACTGGTACCGTAAGCCCCCCAAAGCTGGAAATCCTAAACTGCTAACGAGGTGAACCCTCAAGCTCGGAACGCTGGGTCTAGCAGTTTATAGGGCTTAAGGCTTCAGGTTTTTATGGGTTTAAGGTTGTTATTAGGGCATAGGGTTTTTCATGCTCTTGTGGATTGAATTGGGCCATGGTTCACATACGCGCGAACCTTACACTCTTACGCGAGGATCTGGGGGTGTGGCAGAGTCAGGGTCATTTTGGGGGTTCCTTTCCCAAAGGGTCCTTGGTACTGTTATGGGGGATACTTCCCCAAACCATAATAGTAATTCCTAATAATGAAACCCTACATTCTACTATAACGGTACGTTGGACCCTTTGGGTTAAGGTTTGGGTTTAAGGGATCTTAGTATTGAGGGCTTCGGCTGGACACCTCCTAGGAGAAACGGTAGCCGCAATTTCGAAGCACCCCTGCGTAGCATTCGAGGTCCTCTTGCATCCTTCAAGCCAAGTTCGTGTAACGTGCTGCAAGGTTTTTTTGTCAAGTTACGATGACCTCCCCTTGTCCGAATAAGTAACCAAGCAACCAGAGACTTGAATATAGCGGCTTGGGGTTTAGGTTCACTGTTCCCTAAGGGTCCACGTACCCAAATAGTGTATAAATTGTCCCCATTGTACCTATATAGGGACTACTTCAAGGCCAATGCATATACTATTTGGGTACATGCACCCTATGGGGTTTCGATGGGTTTTGGATTCAGGCGTCTTCAGACCGAGTGTCGGGATTGACAAGGGCTGGCAGGTTTTGTGACAGGCGCGTCGCTAATTTCCATGGGGCCTCGGGGGCATGTTGAAGCATACTCATGTAACGACAGTATGAGATCGGAGAGGGAGTCCTGCCATAGCCCTTCCTAAACCCTAAACCCTGAACTCCTAAACCCTAAACTCCCAAAACCCCAAACTCACTTGGCCACAGCCTCTTGTGGTGATCTTCTAGCAAAGTTGACCGATGATGGTATGGTCTTGGGCTCAAACACCTTGAGGAAAACTGTAGGGTTCAGGGTTTAGGGTCTCGAGCAAGAAGAACCACCCAAACGCCGATGCGCTGGAATCCCCAGCCCGCAATTCTCAAACCATGCAAGAGGCTTGAACATGAAAAACGCTGGACAGGGCATGTGTAAAGAACCCAAACGGCACAAAAACCACAGCTTCAAACAGAGTGCCCCGGCCCTGTCGCAGCAGCTTGCCGGGCAGATTTGCCTGCTCGTGGATCCACCTTTCAGTTGTTTCCCAAACTTCCACCAACGTCTGCGGTAGTTGCAATTTGTGGCGCTGGCGCTGGCCTAAATAACTTAGAAGCTGCCCCCACCCTGTAATAGTGACTATAAGGATTATATTAGGGCCCTATTATATTCCTATTATACCACTATTACAGGGTGGGGGCCCCTTCTAACTGATAACGACATCGCTCCGGTCACCTAGCAATGAGGGCAGTAAGAATAGCAGTAGCAGCAGTAAAGCAGCAACAAAACAATCAGCTAGCTGCCATGCAGACGCGTGCTCCAGAAACGGTCTTTTGAAGCTTGCAAAAATTAGAATCGCAACCCCGCATTATACATAAGCTGAGG